GACACGATTACAATAAAACCCATAAATCGATGTTTAATCTAAATGCCATTATGTGAAAAATATAAAAGTTTTAAACACATTTATTTAATTTAAACATATAAAACAGTCTTGTAACCGTACCATGTAGTAAGGCAGTAGGTAAGTGTCACTGTAGAAGGGAGTAAATAATGTCTTGTGGCTTAAGTAGATTCGGATTCTTGAACATTAGTCTGTGGTTTATAGCTAGCCTTATTCAATCTTAATGCAATCGTAGAACTTCGAGGCGAACATTGAACTGTACTCATAGATCGCTGTGCCACAGTACAATCTTTCACTACACGAATTAAATATAAAATAACAGTTTAAAAGCGGAACACAATAAAAAGGCAATAATTAAAGGGTTCCATTTTTACATTAAACTAAAAAAAAACTAAATTACTTTTGAAGGAATAAATAATACACTGATTTTTTTTAAAGAAAGAGGAATTGATTATTCTACTTAGACTAGTCGGCACAACCAAATTTGACAAAGTGAGGCGCGCACGGGCTTCTATAGACTTTTCACTTCTACTTATTATCCCGTAATTTTGCCGAGGAATACGAACACACTTAGTTAACAACTAACTAACTAACACTCTTAAAGCCTTTACGACTTTGCTTTATAAAACTTTAACTGCTGTTTACATTTTACGATGTAACTAGCTTCGCTTTTTGTTTATTAATCCTTGCACCTATCCACATTTTTTTTCTTTTCTCCAGTACTTCAAGTTGCCTGGAAGAGGTTGTTGCTTAACGATAAGGCTGCCTTTCATTTATAAGTTAGTACGTAACATTTTTTCTCTTATAGTTTTTGTTTGTGGTATGTATTATGAATAATACAGTTTATGCGAGTGCACATTTTAATAAAACACTTTTAACGGTTTAAAACGCGAAGTGTATTATTTGAATTTATTACACGCGTCCCTTTGTATTCTCGTGACTACGGTTGCAGCAAAGCATCCGAAACGTCGTTACAATAATTTATAATTAAGTGTAACTAATATCAGTGTTTTTCAATTATATACTATTTTTCAGCACAGTTTAAAACTGTAGGTATAAAAAAAGCTCTATGCACGTAAAAAAGACGGAACAGTCATCTTTACCTATCGTTCGATGTTAAACTTCCAAGATCAACATAATTTTTGGAAAATGTTTCAAGATTCGAACCTCGGACCTCGATCTGCATTCGAGTGTATCAACGAAAGTGAAGTAGCCATATAAAAGCTTTTAACATTCAAATTCTAATGTAATTAATGATGTAATTACTTTACGAAATGTTTAAGTGTTAGTAGTCGGTGTGAAGAATATAAGATGTAGGGCCGTGGGCAGGGTGTACCCAAGGGAAATCAGTACCCCGGCTATCTGTTACATGTACATTATTATCTTTCGTCCATTATTTATATCCATTGATGGTGTTGGGTGATTTATGGACTTGTATTGGCGTTTTTAACTACATATTTTTAAAGACGCGTGCTATGTGTTGGCGCTTTTTTTCTGGATTGGATATTTCGTGACCTGGGGCTTGTAATACTAACCGCGTTATTACAAGGAGTAAATGGGAGGTTAAGAATCTGGTCAGATGCTCACTCATGAAAAATTGACGCAATCTTTTTTTTTATTGGAATTGACGTATTTGCTACCGCCATCTCTTAGCAGCGCCTCTAAACTACAAATGTGTGTAGCTCTATTCAACAAGATATATATAATAAAATATAATATAAATAAAATATAAGGATAAAGTAAAAACAACATATTATTAATGTACTTTATTCAAATAAATATAACCAATAACATTTAATTCATCACAGGAGCAGGGTATCATAAAACACAAAGTTCATAGCTATGATAGATATAATAATTATTAAGCGAAACAATTTTTATAGACAGACCATATTTTCATCATTGTTTTTTTGTAGTAATCTTTCCCGATCGTTATTGATCAATCGTTTTTCTATAGACGAACTAAGAAAATCTTATTACGCACTTATTTTTTTTATTACGGCCTGTCAAACTTCTCGCTCCAACCTTAAATTCAATTGACATATTCAATAAAAACTATTAATCTACAAAAAGCACTTTCAACTGAACAGACCGAAAGGGGGAATTGTCGTCTTTTTGTGCGTTCCTTAAAAGATTTTATAATCGTAAAAACTGTACTTATAATTTTTATGGAGCAGGTTAGGAATCTACTTGTAGCATTCACACATATTCTATAAAAACCAGTTACATATTAATTATTTACTATTATTCGTTAATGTTAAGTACAAGTTCTGTGTTGCTATGTAAAATATATTCACAACGATACACTCAACTACGAATCTATTTTATTAAATTTTAGGGGCCAAATTAGAAAAAAAAACTCGGAGCCATTCAAGTATTACGTTAGTAAATTCACGATTATTGGCGACATCTATCCCAGTAACCAGAAAACTCTCACCTGTCTTGCTTTCGGAAGTAACAAAATAAAATATAATAATCTTAGGTACTGATGGCGTAGTCGCCATGTAGACCCATCCCAGCCTCAAAAAAGAAGCAATGACCTACCCCCCTTTAGCTAACGTAAAGCTTAAACGGCTTCTTTATAAAGCAAACGAGATTGACTTCCAGGGCATACAACATTTAAGAAATCTAGGATATGCATTACTAGAATCATATTCATAGATCAATCTACAAACTAAATACACTTTTTACAACCCAGACATTCAAGCGAAAAACACTTTTAAATACCATATCAATTACGATCTAATCCATTAATATTCCTTAAATTTGATGGTTTACCATTTGAAAACATGAGTGTCTAAAAATCGAAAATAAATTGAAAACATTTTCAACTTGGGCAGGACAAAATATTTTCAATTTATTTTCGATTTTTAAATTATACATTAGGTATATAGGTGTTTATTTATCGAACGGTGTCTAAGATTTAAAAAAAAACATATAATTTTGACAAAAAATGTAACGTGGTATAAAAACTATTGGAATGGATTCAGCTACTGATTCTGAACAAACTATTTTCAGGTTTCGCATGAAGTAGGAATAACCTCGCCTTCATTTGCATATATATAATAACATGTAAAAAATATTAAAGTTTTCAAACATGAGCGTTATTTTACCATAACACCTTCTGTAGAGAATAATGTTTTTCTCTCTCTATTACAAAACCAATTTGGAAATACGTAAGTTACTTTAAATAACTTTTTGGATTTCGCTTAAAAAATTAAAGTAAGACTTAACTGTTTATCTGTCTGTCATTAGTCCTCATGTGAACCGTGATATTTGCTTGTAATTTTTTACTTATACTTGCGTGCAATAGTTAAAACTAGCCGTGTCAGCGACTTAGATCCCGTATAATGTAAAATGAAAGTTATTCATCAACATTTTTTTTTGCAAACTTCCTCTTCGTTTTTATAAATTTAAGTTATAAACATGAAGAGGAACAAACATATTGTTTGGGTCTCTTAAACATTTTTCTCAAACATTTACGCAACGGAAACCCACAAAGATGAATAATTTTCCGCGTCTTTTTTTCACATTTTCCACTGTCCCTTCGCCCCTATTAGCCGCAGCGGTGTTATATAGCCTCGATAAGTCTACCGAACACAAAAAGAATTTTAGAATGAATTCGAACCAGTAGTTCCTGAGATTACGGCGTTCAAACAAACAAATAAACTCTTTAGCTTTATATATTAGTATAGATATTTTTTGTCTTTTTTATAATACTACGGGGCTCTTAAAGCACGAGTACAGCTCGCGCTTGGATACTTCTCTTTTAGTTTGCTTCCGTTTATACAATAAAAACTTTTTGTTGAAGATAGCGAGTAAATCTTTGCATGCTCTATTAACTAGCGCACGGCATTTATTCGACCGCAGCGGGTCTACGACAATGGATAATTGTAAATTGTTCGACCATCATCATGATTCGTTGCATTGTGCACAACTGTACCTGAATCGCTGACGTCTCAATTGTGCATGATTACTCGAGTGTACTTTAGATCATTTCACAATACCCGAAGTTTCGTTCATTATTGAGAGAACTATTCAATAACATCTACTTTGTTCTAGTGGTGTGAGACGCCGTTATGTTCGGTATTAAACCCGCTACCCTCTTAGGCCGTAGTCCCAACAGTGAGATTGCGTCCAAATGGTAAACCATTACTATAATTACTTTTTAGTAAAGCTAATAATACTGTACATGCATTTTGAGGCATTATAAATATTGCTTCATCGATAAGGGAAATAATTACACAGAACATAAAGTCACTTTGGCAAGATGTAATCGAGATGTCAATCTGTTCATGTCAAAATAATAAATTAATATAAAAAGCCACGACAATCACTACCACAGTTACTCTACACTTAATTAATGTACTTATTAAATGAGGTACGTTAAATCATTATGACTATCTGTGGATATGAATTACTTTCAAAACTTATCATCTATATTATACATTCATATATCAAAAAAACGCGCCAAAAAAATTTTTTTTTTCAGCAAAGTTACCAGTACCTAAAACAATATTTAACATATGCATTTCAATACAAAATAACAATTATAGAAAAATGCACGAAATGGAACGAGAGCTTAGTCCTAATATTATAATTATTAATAAATAATCTTAAAGTCACTTAAGGCAAGCATCAAAATAGTTAAACTCAAGCGATCGAAGTATAACTACTTGACAATTGCGAAGTGATAACGAAATCCTAGGAAGGGAAAAGTATAGTGACTTTTTGGTATAAAATTAAGACAAGAAATTGATAATGTTGTCGTACCTAAAAAATCGAGTTAAATCGATAAAAGCGAAAGACATTAGATCTATCGATCCTAACCTTAAAAACGACTAGGTGAAGTATTTCTCATTAGACAGATAATGGCAGTTATTTGCACGGAACATAGACGGAACCATTCAACATTCGATTTTATAGGCTTCATTTTGAAAGACCGTTTCCTCGTGACAACTCTTCGAATCCAAAATCATCGGCTAATGACAGTTGATGGCGCGTCGCTGAAGACGTCGTATGCGCCTGTGCCAGTCGTCCCGCCACTCTAGAAGCAATGTCCTCTCTCCTACCGTTAAGCCCGGGAAACCAGAAGATGAGCCCTCTTTTTCCACTCCTAGGATTAAGTAGGACCTGTGAACAAAGATTATTTAAGACTGTTTACATTTGAGAACTTAAATATTTTTCACATGTTATTGCACATAATGGCACATAAGACTCTATAATTTAAAAATCGAAAATAAATTGAACAAATTTTCGACTCGGGCAGGTCTTGAACCGACATCGTCAGCGTTTAGTAGGACTCGGTAGCTCAATTTGTAGAGCAACAGCACGGAACGCTGACGATGCCGGTTCAAGTCCTGCCCGAGTCGAATTTTTATTTTAAATTTATTTTAGACTTTTAAACTGTTTACATTTTATACTCGACTAGCTGTGTCCGCGCCTTCGTCCGCGTCCCGTCGTTCTTGCGAGTTAATCTTAAAAGATAGGCATATATTTTTTAAAACTTTTTGCACATCATTTAAGGAGGAACAATTTTATCACGGATTTATTTTTGTTTTTTGAACCGTTTTCGTAGTATACGCAACTACGGACGCGATCAGAAGCGGATCGGAACGGAAGCGATCAAAGGTGAATAATTTTTCACACTTTATCGTTTTCCCCTCAAATTTTTCGCATCTATTGGTTGTAGCGTGATCTTATAAAGCCTGAAGCCTTCCTTCATAAATGATCAATCCAACATACAAGTAATGTTTAATTCGAACCAGTAGTTCCTGAGATAAGCGCGTTCAAAAAAAGCTGTGCAGCTTTATAATATTAGTATAGATTTAATTTAGGTAAGTTGTAATGTGACAGCAACAGCATTTGTAATTTTTGTATTTAAAGAAAATTGTATGTAAAGCAGCTGGAACTAGTCCCAGGTTGAAGTTATTAATAATTAACTTTTATCTGTAGTGCGTTTTAAACAGTTAAAAAGTGTTTTTGCATCACTAGCGTAGATAGATAGAGAGACTAATACAGGTAAAACTTCTTGGTAGTATTATTTCCAAATACAACTCACTTGTTAATCTTGATCTTGGGGCACTTGCAGGCGAGGTCTATGGCGCGTACGTAGAGGGCGGTCTGGCCTCTGCGCAGACGGCTCCGCGGCCCGCGCTTGTACACGGCCTGTACGCTCAGCGCGAGTCGAGCCCATCCGTCTCCTCCCGCTGTTTCTCGCCCGACCACTCGACCCATTATGACTGAAAGGTGATTTTTTTAACTAAGGGCACACACACACTTGCACACTAGTACAAATACAAATATTCTGTATTGTTACAGAACAATAAAAAAATATAGACCTAGAATAAATCGCTCGATAGCAATAAGGCTGCAATGGTAGCAATATATGGCTAGTAGTCAACATGTCGTGGGTTCGAACTCCGCTGAGTCCAATATTTTTTTATTAATTTTATAAATTTTCTTATATTTATAAAAGGTTATTAAATAACAGACGAGACACACGCCACAGATAAAAAAGCCGGCAAGTTTAATGACATTTAAATAAAACACTTTAACGGTTTAAAACGCGATATATTAATTAAACTTATTTGAAAATGAGCAGCCGTGGTCACGGAGTCTCCCCGTGACCACGGCTGCTGCAAAGCATCCGTAACGTCGGGCCGAAGTTAAAAATCATTTTCAAATAAGTTTAACTAATATATCGCGTTTTAAACCGTTAAAGTGTTTTATTTTAATGTGTACTACTCGCGTAAACTATAGACAGTATCTAAGTTTATTCACGTTTCGGTTTCGTCCTGTGGATTTCCGAATATCCATATCCAAAAGGGTCGACAGCGCATCATGTGTTAATGTTATAGGTATGGCTGGCATATTTCTCCTTTCATCAACCCTACACTTAACTGTCCTAGTCTAATATAATAATGAAATAAATAAGTATGCAAAAGACTACTTCTGTCCTTTCCAATTGATGGTCCGGTTTCAATATATCGATTATTTAAAAATACTTAGATACAATACTTTAAGTTTAGTTGTAATAAACCTATTTGCGGAGAGTTTTTTTTTTTAATTGAGATCCAAAATATGATCAACAGTTTCTCTATGTAGATAGTATAAAAGCCCTTACCGTAGTCTCGGCTGCAAAACTTGTTGAGGTTTAGAGTTCTCGCGCCTGCGCGACACCGGCCGCACTGCTCCGCTGTTATCGAAAAGTTCACATTTAAGATAATATCCTCTTACAGCCCAATTTCAGCGAGAAACAAAAACATTGATTAACGTTACCGATTAGATGTCACATCGACATAATTACTTAACAATCGGTCAGATTAAGTCAATGTAAACTTTCTAGGTAAAACTCGTTGGTGTAATTGATGAGAACAAAAAAGTGAAGAAAAAGCACTATAATTGAAATTGGCAACGTCTTAGCAAGCCACGTCTCCGCCATGCAAACGTGTTTTGCTATCAGTTTGTCATTAGTCAGTGTCTATGAATACCGAGTTACCAAGCTTATTGACGCTTTATCCATGTATATTATCATTATCGTTTAAATATGAAAGGCAAAAGAGGTCTTATGATCCAAACTCAGCTTTCGATTTGTGGATGATTCGTTAAACTTGGTAGGTTTAATATTATGGATTTTTAAACTAAGTTATATATGTTCCTTTCTAACGACTATAAAAAAATACTAGTCACTTATAGTCGTAAGAGCAAAGTAATAACACACAACAAGTGAATATGTATATTCTTAGAGAAAATAAATTCTTTAAACTTAACAAGGATATCGTTCTCCAATCATCAATAAAAGCAGTTTGATAAATTATTATTAAAGACAGTATAAACCCAGTTTCAACGCAATAATGTTAAAATAAAATAAGTTTAGTTAACTTATTTTATTTCACATTATTTTGTCATTCGTTATAAATATCTGTCTGATTTGAAATAACTACTTTAAAATTTCTTTGATAAAAGAAAAATTGCCGGTCACTTAACTTAATGTTATAGTTTCTCGGTGAAATTGGGCTTAAGCAATAGACAATTTATGTAGTAGTAATCAATGATTTTTAACATAAAAGTAATATGTACGGTAGCAATTCCATTCTGAATCCAATTTAAAGTAACATGCAAGAAACAATTGAAAGTGTTTACCTTGTTTCAGGGTACTTGACATAAATTTAAAGAAAACAAAATGTATGAATATAACGATGAATTAAATATAAGCCCTGAAAGAAAATGGCGGCGGAGTTTTAAATAAGGGGTAGTTTACATTCACTTGCAAATTAAGTGCATGTACTCAATAAAACAATAAGATTATGGTTTAAGATTTAAGCACTTTGTTGTCAAATATAATAACTGTATGTATTTTTCAAATTATTTTACATGCAAACATTTGAAATTGTGCAATAACTCTTATCAATTTCTTGCTAAAATGAATAAGAATCCAAAAAATAGTTCACGAAAATGCACAGATTAAAATTTAAATAAAACACTTTAAGTTTAAAATGTGTTGCAGCAGCCTACACGCTGCTGCAAAGCATCCAAAATGTCGGGCCGAATAAGTTTAACTAATAATCCTTTTAAAGTTAAATGATTTTATTTAAATTCAATGACTGACAGACTAAAATTTCTTTAGTTTGACAGTTACATAAGGATGGGATGTAAGCAGAGTCAACGACAATAGAGGGTAAGTCCCACTCTTGTTCAATCTCTGAAAAGCGTTAAACGGAAAAGTCGCGGTAAATATAAATGACATAAAAGAAATCGTCGTCATAAAGTGATTTTGAATGTTGATGTCGTTTGGTCCATATAATATAATAGATATTTAATTTATATCCCTATATCATCTGTGGCAATGACTACACTCTATAAATGAGCATCCTTAAATCTCAATGGGTTGCAATCGGCCATATTTGTTTGTTGTGGTCCTTTGCCAAGTTAGAAAACATACACGATATAGGTTAGCCCTTATTTCACTTTCCATCAAATAAACCACGCTGCACTGCTTTGTTATAAACTAGACAACCTTTTTAATTGAATTTCTTTTGTTACTTTGGTATTATTTAAAGACCGTTGTCCTTGAAATTAATTAGGAATAAACTAGTGTTAAGCCAGCTTTTGCTTAAAATATTTATCTGTGGTTCGTAACAGTTGTTTCTTAATCGTAGAAGTTGCCAGTACTAATTTATAATATTTGTAATAGTTATAAATCTAACGTAATAAAACCGATTTCAAACGTCTAATTGCCGTGAAAATATTATTCCGGATGTATCAATCAATATTTTGTAACTCATATTATGATAATGTGATTGATATGGCCGCAGCTAATGGGGCAAGTTTCTGGCTATAACCACAGTTTACTTACCGGTTATTGGTTCAATTGTGTCCAACAATAATAGTTGTTGTTAACATTACTTTCTAAATACAAGTGATACAACTGTGGCTCTGGGACAACGTATGGAAATCTGGATATTAAATGGGTGGTAGGAATACCGAAATTCCGAATCAACTACCGCCTGCCACAGACAATATGATCCGTCAACTTCAATCGCGTTTCGGGGTCGGTCTGTGGATTTCCGAATATCCAAAGAATATAATCAAGTGAACCCCGAGCTTGTCTTGCTCTATAATAAAAAAAGATAGGATGATTGATTCATTTACTTTATTAGTTAGAATAGAAGTTTAGTAATCGTAAAATGAAGATTAAAATTATTTTTTTAGAAGAGAGTAGAGACCTCATGCTTTAAAGTGTAGTGTAACAAACATCCACAAAAGGAATATTTGTCATTTGTCTAAAATGGTTTAACTTTTGTTTCTATCGTTCCTCACTGCAGTTTCTATGGACTGTTATCGTAGATTATAATCTATCATTGCAAGTACGGTATCAATTTTGTTTTTCTATGCACAGTAGTTCCGAGGTAAATACGCGATACATCAAATAAAACAATAAATTTAAAATTATTTATATAATATGTTAATTATATAAAATTTATTCTTTATATTAAATTATTATTACGGTTAGGTGACGAGTGTTTTCCTAAATTTGAGAGTATTATTTAAATCTTTATTGAAGTGTTCTTTATCTATGAAGAGATGTCAGAAAGAAGTTTTTTTTTACAATCAATTATCCAATGATAAGGTTTTTAAAGTAAAAATCAAACGAAGTTATATTAAACAAAGTGCTTAAAATACGGATAACTTAAAATATGCGCAACAAAATAAATACACAGGAAGCGAAATATAATCGACTTTGGTAATAGAAAAATATATATATTGACAAGAAAACAGTTTATTAATACAATATACTTAGTTTATCAAATAATTTCACTACCCTACGAGAAAAGACTAAATGGGTGCGTTTTAAAAATGTATACTTCATCCATTTATTTATTGTCTAGAGTTCGACATAAAATAAAACAATTTAAACTGCTTAAAACACGAAATATATTTCTTAACTTATTTCTCATTTATATTATCTACGACCCGGCGTTTCGGATGCCTTTTATTTTCAAGAGAATAGCGTCGAAAGGGATAATCGAATTTTCTCTTATTTTATTCAGGTATTAAGAAAGTTTTACGTCGATTATATTAAACTTGGTTTGGTGTTGATGCGATGGAGTGCAATGAAGTCCACTTACTACTTACCGCGTCCCGGCTCAGCGTCAACTGCTTCCATGGCCTGTACTGCCGTGACGACTCGTGGTATACCTAAAAGTATAACGATATACAGATTATATAATATATAATCATATCATATTATGACAGCTGCTAGAGGCAGAGTAACCTAATAGCAAAAAACATGATTTTCAATTAGGAGGACAAATGCGCAATTAACTTAGGCGAAAATAAATTTGTACGCTCTATTATATGTTTGTAACAAAATTTTAGACTATAAAACTTCGGTCAAACTTTATGTGGCTTCTTTATAGTATTGTCAAACGATATATCTTTAAGACAATAAAAACATTTACATCAGTCTGAACAGTTTCTCATATAAGACTATCCTAAAATGTTAAACTAAAGGTGAACAAATTTGATAATACCATTTGAATAAAACACTTTTAACGGTTTATAACGCGAAATCTATTCATTAAAATTATTTTAACAGCTCGACATTTCGAACGCAGCAGCCATAGTCACTTTTTTTTAAATTTGATATATAATTGTTTGTTAGTAATATTAATATTATTTCAAACAATTTTTACACAACCTTTGCTTGATTCCAAAAACAAATTACATAAAACAATCCTTTACTTCCACAAAAATTAGTTTGTAATTCCGTTTTTCCTACATGAGCCATATTTCCGTGTCCGCTGCACAGATCGAACTTTTAAGCATTGCAAATTCAAAACGAATTATTATTGTTCCGGGATTTGAATCCTGGACAGTGAATCTAATCATTCATTGCCTAGCAGTAGGGAATAATTGAATGCCTCAATTTACTTACGTATACATGGAGCGATGTGACTTCTCGACTGCTGGTACCCCTTGGCGCAGCGGTTGCAGGTGGTCCCCGTAACGCCATCCTTACATGGACACTGTCCACTGGTTTGGTTGCAGGTCTTGCCGCTGGCTCCTACTGGATGGCAGTCGCAAGCTAAAAAAAGATTAAATTTGAATATGATTTAGTTAAATATATTCTTACTTCATAGTCTTTATAACAAATTATTAATTATATTTATTATAAATACATGGGCAAGTTATAAATTAATACCATTTGGGAAATATATTTGGTAGAATATGATGTTTATTGTTAAAGGTGGAAGACAAGTGGAGTTACTAGTCCTATAGGATCTAAATGTGTTATCGACCTATTTTGGCTTTGGCTATTCGGAAATCCACAGACTGAAACCGAAACGTGATTAAACTTCACGTCTCTTTGATCCGTCAATGGTAGTTCATGACCCCGTCGGAATTTCGATATTCCTACCAGCCAATTTAATATTCAGATTTCCAGACAAAGCCAAAGTGTTTCAGAAAAATGTTGGATAGCCATGAACTAACGTTCACAGAAGATAAAGCCGTGAAGTTTAATTCTGTTTAAATCAAAAGCGAGAACAGGTCGACAGTGCATCTTGCTGAGCTGTTTTTGGCCGGAGTATTTTACCTTCCATCAAACTTGACTGTCCACCTCTAAGATCCAAGATTTTTTGTTTTTATATTCGTATGCCATTCAGCTTGGGCTATAGATAGGTGAATTCTATATAATGTATATTGCATAAGTACCATCTTGTCACAAACAAATCTTATTAATAGTATGTTTCATAGAATATCATTGTTACTATATTAGTTCCAACGTAGCGGTGGCTGAGTGGCTTCCTTTTTGAGGCTATTTTTTTTATTTAGTTAGCGAGAGTAAAAGGATTTAAAAATATATTTAAAAAATGTTTTATTTAAATTGATATATTGTATTCAATGATATAAATTAAATTTATATTTTCCTCTTCCCATATTACGTTTGTTACAATTATAAATATGTTTCTGAATGAACGTATTCCCATTTTATTTCTATTATTTTTAATTGTTCACTTGGAAATTTTAAGCAGAAGCGAGCGATTTAGTCTGTATATTTAGAAGCATCTGTTTAATTTATTTCAATCTATAGGCTATACATATATTTATTATCTGTATTTTAAACACATTATTGTACCAAATTTGTCACTAAAATTATGCAATAAATTACATTTTGCAAATTGTAGTCGTGTTGTCTGAAATGTTTCCATCTAAACTAACATGAGTATTGTTCGTAGCAGGTGTTCAATACTAAATACCTATATTTAGAGCAGGGGTGGCAAATTAATGGCACGTTTCGGATCTTAAAATGCATCGTGTGCTAGAAAGTATCAAAATGGGATTCAAATGACGCGCGAAGTAACTCCTATGGAATGAGATGCATTTCTTTTGGTTTTATTGTTGATAGTATTATTTTTTCCAAATATGATTATATCTTTAATATTTGAATGAACATCTTTTAAGATAAGACACAATGTATTATCATTAATGGAACATGTTTTATGTGTATGCTGTTTAGTAGCGTATCATAATTATTATATCTATATATATATATATATATATATATATATATATTTAGTTGATCATATTTTTTTCTAATGTCTTACTGAAAATTCGGTTTAGTCCATATCAAGACTTGATGTAACTTGAGAAACATTATTTTCTACCAACCTACATAATACTAACATAGTTACTTCAAATTCATTTACATTCGATATAAGTTGTATACGTAATTGTAAGTAAATTTGTTATCTTCATAACTTTGTCACCCCTGATTCAACGCATAGCTTTAGTGTCTAGAGGGGGACCATTTCATGTAACGGAAATGTTGCTCTGCGCTACATAGTCTACCTCTTTGTAAGGATTTGTCTTTCCCTGTCACCTTCATTGTTATATGTTACTGTCAAAGGGTTACATTACCAATTAATGTAACATTATCGTTTAGTTACTAAAAATTGTTACATAATACTGCTGTAAGTTTTATAAAAAGTAAGTTATGTAAATAAACTAAAACGACAAACATTGTTTTAAATATTATTATGTTGACACATCTCTAACAAATAATAATTAGTAATAGTACATTAATTTCAACCAAATTTGATTACCGTAAAAATGGTTCTTGCGGGTAAATCTTAAAACATGACATATGACATACAGAGATTTTTTCTAAAGATTAAGGAGAATCGTTCTAGAGTACACGCTGTGGAAGCGATCAAAGATGAATACGATAAGATTTAAATAAAACACTATAACAGTTTAAAACGCGATATATATGAGTTCAACTTATTTGAAAATTATTTTTAACTTCGGTCCGAAGTTTGGATGCTTTGCAGCAGCGGTGATCACGGGGAGACTCTCCGTGACCACGATAAAAAAGCAAATAAATTTAACTAATATATATCGCGTTTTAAACCGTTAAAGTGTTTTATTTAAATGTGTACTACTCGCGTAAACTATATACAGTATTTACGATAAAATTTCACTGCTCAATTCGACCCAGTATTATATGAAATTAGCGCGTTTAATCTCTTCAGTTTTGAAAATTTTATTATCTTTTACATGTTATTGCACATGAAGGCACTATATAATTAAAAAAATCGAAAATAAATTGAAGCTACCGAGTCAGATCATCAGTCAATTGGTAGAGCTACAGCACGGAACGCTGACATTGCCGATTCAAATCCTGCCTGAGTCGAAATTTTTTTCAATTTATTTTCAATTTTTAAACTCTTCAGTTTTATAATATTAGTATCGATAAAGATAAAGGCTAAGTCTTTAAAAAAGGATTTAGCTTTTATGTAATACAGAAGATTGTATTTACTTATACTAACATTTCTAATTAAGTATGTACAAAGAAATACGTAATTAATCTTAAGTAATCTCAAGCAGCTTTGGTTTTATTTAAATTGTCAAAAATTATGAGGTTAAAAAAAACCCCCCCTAAATCCCTAAATTTCTAATAAAACACTTTAACAGTTTAAAATGCGATATATTTTAGTTAAACTTGTTGGAAAATTATTATTAACTACGGCCCGACGTTTCGATGCTTTGCAGCAGCCGGTCACGGGGAGACATATAATCTTAAAAATTACTTTACGACTCGTTATTAGAGCCGAGTATTGTGATATAAATATGATGTTATCAAATTCTTTACAGCACTGCGGACACAAAACCCCGTGCACCATATTTTTTGGAAACCTAAATATTTACAGGTGGACTCGTAAAATGTCTATAATTATCCACCCACCGAATGGAGGAAGTTTTGTTTCGTTGCTTTTATTGGGTTGTTGACGCGGTCATAAATGCGATCGTTTCTTGTTTGTAGTCGTTCTTAGATGAATGATTCTGTGGCTATTAAAAGCAGAATTGTGGTATATGGTTTTATAGTGTCCCATATGAGTTCTCACATAGGTATGCGAAATGCCCAATTGCCCAGGGAGGGGGTTATTAAAAATCTATATCTATACTAATATTATTAAGCTGAAGACTTTGTTTGTTTGTTGGTTTCGCGCCAATCTCAGGAACGAATGCTTCGGATTGAAAAATTATTTTTGTGTTGGTTTAAAACATTACCGAGGAAGGCTTTAGGCTATAAAAGATCACGCTGCGAAAAACGGGGAAAATTCTTCATATTTCTGGGTTTTCATTGCGTACGATGCGAAAATGGTTCACACAAAAAATGTGTATAAACATAATAAAGCAGAAGAGTTTGTTTGTTTGAGGGCGTTAATCTCAGAAACTATTGGTTCGAATTAAAAAAAATGTGTTTGTTAAAACACAACAAACAAACACAAACAGGAGCTAAAAAACAGTGAGAAACGAAACTATTTGTATTTGGAAACTTAAAAGCGGAACCCTAAAAAGTACCGCAATATTGTGGCAACTTGACCGGGGCCAAGTAATGTAACACGGCACGAGTGCGATAAACGCTAAAAATAAAAGAGGCAAACACAATTTGCCGCGGTCACCGAATAGTTCCTCCATAAAACCTTTTGCGAAACGAAGTTGGAACGAGACCCGTGGGACGAGTTGGTAACAACCTCGGTTAGAGCTGACTGGGAAGGGTTTTATTGCCCAGTTAACTTTTACCGATATAACTGATGCTTGGGCGTGGAAAAAACTCGGTAACAGCTTTCTTTTAACTTCGCAGTAGGTAGAACGATCGGAAATTTTCCAATCCAAAATTAAAAAAAATCGCGTTTTGGTTTCAGTCTGTGGATTCCAAATATCCAAAGCCAGTCAAACAACGAGTGCAGTTTAGATATTATATGATGTGGACGTTCCAGTAAAATGATAACATGATTTGAGGACTAGTTTATCGTCCACTAAATATTATTGAAAATTCTTGGTAATATATTTTGCTTGTCACATTGTTAAGAGTGAAATCCCGTTTCCCCCCATGGAACATAGAGCAAACACATTTCTGTGTCCGTTGCACTAATCTGTTATAAACATGTGCCTTGCCCGAAAAAAATTATTGTTTTCCCGGGATTCGAACCCAGGACCTCTTCGCTAGGAAATGCTTCTTAAGCTATCTACCCAGGCCGTCAATATTTGGCCAGTTTTACATAAAAGCCTAGATTTAAAAGACAACTTATGGTAAAAACTGTCTATAGTTTACGCGAGTAGTACACATTTAAATAAAACACTTTAACGGTTAAATTAGTTTGGGCAATTTCTAAGTTATAGTGTATGTTGATTCATAAACTGAAAAATAAGTATTTGTTTAAATGCACCTACGTAAACACCTTAACGGTTTAAAACGCGATATATTAGTTAAACTTATTTGAACACGGATGCTTTGCAGCAGCCGTGGTCACGGGGAGACTCGAAACGTCGGGCCAAAGTTAAAAATTATTTTCAAATAAGTTTAACTAATATATCGCGTTTTAAACTGTTAAAGTGTTTTATTTAAACAACTTATGTTGTAAATTTAAAATAGATTATAAGTTGAAAAAATTCCCTTGGGCAGGCCTTGAATCTCCGTAGCTCCAGGCTGTTGCTCTAACAGATTGAGCTACCGTGACATACACCTAATTGTCGAATTTTCAACATATAAGTGCAACTCTCGCGCAATGTATATTCAACAACTTACGTTTGCAGGCTTTCTTGTGAGTGATGGGCTTGGTAGGATCCCGGTAGTACCCCTCCCGGCAGTAGTGGCAGTGCCGACCAGCTGTATAGTGCCGACACTTGAGGCAGACGCCTCCGCTCGCTCTTCCAGATAGCTTGTACAGCTCCATGTTGAATCGGCAGCGACGCGCATGGCCGTTGCAGTTGCATTCTGAAACAAAAAATGTCAAAAAAAATAATCCTCAAGTTAATTATATATTATTTTTTTACCCTTTTAAAGTTTAAAACCTTAAAATTATGTGTTATGATATTCCATATCCAAAACCTCGAGTCAAATATTTGATTCATTGGAAGAAGAATTTAATGTAGTAAGTAGATTATAGTATGTATATGCTACTAAAATCATTATATTGATTATTATTAATGAATAGGACTGGATATTTGAGTTTAAAATTCTATAATAATTAAGACGACCGTTCTTCAATTTTAATATCTTTCTACTTATAAAAAGGAGTTTGTTTGAGCGCTAATCACAGAAACTACTGGTTCGAATTGTACATGCTTTATGTTGATAAGTGCATTTATCGAGTTAGGCAATAAAACATCGCTGTGACTAATAGGAGCGAAGAAACAGCGGGATATTAGGAAGAATCGGGGGAAAATATTCACCCTTGTGGGTTCCCGTTGCATGCTGTGGAAACGGTTCAAGATACCCAAAAAAAATGAAACAAAGAGTATATGACTGTCTTTTAAAATTCACGACGGAATGTGACCGATGTCGTCAGCTTAAATTTATAGATTTGTACAGGAGATTTGCATAGACAAACGCAGTCGCTAGCTAGTTTGTAATAAAAACACCAATTCACCTTCGCTACTGTGTTCTAGGAGACGGGACCTCAATCAGAGGTCAGTAACATTTTACAAGACCGTTACAATTTTCATTAAAGCTAATGGAATACGAAATGAAGCCAGTTCTGCACGTGAAAGCCAAGTCATGTAAGCACCAGCATTAGTACGAACGAAGGCAATATTAATCGTTCGTATTTGTGGCGAGCAACAGTTGGCTAATGTGGCCATATATCCCCGATGCTTGCGAGATTACGGTGACCACACGCGTGGGTGTGTCGGGATAAATTCGTACGACTGGACCGAGTACTAATACTGAAAAGCTCTTTTAGCCTACAAATGAACACAGGGTATATTTATTTATTACGGCTTTATTATTTATAAGTATACCACAAAAACTACAAAAGTAAAAACTTATAAATAAAAGGCAAAAAAAGGCTAAACAGCAATCTCTTCCAGGCAACCCGAAGTACTGGAGAAAAGAAATAAGAAAAAGTCTGAGGCGTATACATTATTTAATTTCAACTTATGGCATTAGATACATTAAAAATAGATTTCAGATTTTTTTTTTTCCCACCACGGGGCAAATTTTTTTTTGTTTTCCCCCTTCCCCTTTTTTTTTTTTTTAAATTTTCTTTTCCCCCGGGGGGCCCTTTTTTTTTTTTTTTAAATTTTTTCCTGGGGGGGGGGGGCCCCCTTTTTTTTTTTTTTTGGAAACCCCCCCGGGCCCCCGGGGGTTTCTTCTTCTCCCCCCCCCCCCCCTGGTATTATTTCTTTCAGTCTAGAATCGTTTTTTAACTATAATTTAATTGGAAACATAGACCCGGTAGATAATGCCACCATTGACCGAAGAGTCCCCGCGTTCGGCCCATCCCAATAACATTTAATTTTAACTAGTCTAAACATAACTCATACACTAAAATCGCTGCAGAGCAAATGAAACTGTCATCGCTACAAGTTAGCTGTTACGTTAAACAGATGGCGTTTATGTAACCCCATTGTGGTGTCAGCAACTAAATATTCACAGAACCAGTTGTTGACAGCTTAACTTTTATTTCAAAAGTTCTTGATATAAATATAGAAGTGAAATCTTAAATACTGTCTGTAGTTTAGTAGATATTTAGAAGAGGGTCTCCCCGTGACCACGGCTGCTACTAAGCAACCGAAACGTCGGGCCGTAGTTAAAATAATTTCCAAATAAGTTTATCTAATATATATCGCATTTAAACCGTTAAAGTGTTTTTTTATGTGAAATCTTGTTTTTTACTGTGTTGATAATAGATTTCTCAGTTTGTATAAGCGATCGCTTTCATAAAACGAACCTTATAAGAAAGAACGCTTTTAACGGTTTAAAACGCATCTGAAACGTGCCGTGAAACGGAGTAGTTACAATAAATTGTATATAAGTTAACTAATGTATATCGCATTTTAAAAAGTGACTGGAAATGTGAACTATCGCTAGAAAGACGTATAAGAAAGAAGTTGGTAAAATTTTTGAGACCGGGTACATTGAAAATCTATTACCTTGGTATCAGCATTCTAGTTTAAATACTAGATTTTAAAAACGGGAAAGAACAAGATGCGCTATTGGCCTATTTTGGCTTTGGATATACACGTATTAACTCGCCGCCACTCCTCTTATCAACTTAACAATAGCCAATCATTTAATTTACCTCCATTTTGGGGAATTACAGGGATCCAAAATTACCATCCACTCCAGAATTGAGTTCTTCAACCCTCTTTGCTCGAAAAAGGTTATAGTAATTTGTCCCATGGGCTATTTACAATTTTCACATAAATTTCCGCCATAAAGACGCACAAGGTATGATAAATCAGCCAACGACTGCGCCTGAAGGCGAATCATCAATTTGTTTAATGGTCGCGGAAAATTATGGGTCTCACTTCACTTTTCTTGGCAGATCGTTAACTCATTAACAAATGGTTTTCTTCCCCATAAACTAATACGTATGTTAAATAACTGTCAAAATAACTGACAGACTTATAACCTTGTACACATTTAAATAGAACACTTTTAACAGCTTAAAACGCAAAGGATATGAGTTAACGTATTGACAATTCACTGAAACTACGGCATGTTAAATTAAAAATCGATTTTAAAAGTAAAAAAAAATACGAATCGGGCGGATTCGAACCGGTATTCTACAGCATGTTTTAAACCATTAGAAGTGTTTATCTAAATGTGTACTACTAGTGTAAACTAGCAGCAGTTAATTGGAGGGTATACACATTTTTCAGCCCTTTCGTGAATAAATACTTGATACAAACAAACTGAAGTGCCACGTCATCGTTGGTCGTGGGTTCGAATCCTGTTTGTGTTATCTATTTAATCATTAACTATTGTTTTTTTCAAGTATATTTCTAAATGTATAAATTAAATTTCAAATACAGAACTCTGTTGTGTCAAGGAAAATCAGACATTTTAAATACGATCCAAGTAAATAAGTTTCGTCCAAAAATGACTTGAACTTTTTTCATTCAAGCGCACGTACGTCCGCGTATTTGTGTTGGTATTATGTAATAAGTAGTGAAGGAAATGTCTGAGCACGTCCACTGTTGGGGTAACTAGCGGCGATCAAAGTACTAATATCGATCTTAAATGTTTTAGATGTGAACGACCAATGACCAACGAATTAACATCCACGAGTTAATAGATGTTAAAATAAAATGCTTTTAACGGTTTCAAACGTGAATATACCACTAGATAATCCTGTACACATGTTAGAATATCTATATTTTATGATAGAAGAGGACAGACAAGCACGAAGCTCACTTGATGTTAGGTGAAATGTCCTAGCCATATAACATCTAAACATGATGAGCTGTCGACTTATTTTAGCTTTTCGAATCCACAGATTAAAACCCAAAACGTGATGAAAATTGACGGCTTTTTCATCTGTAGACAGCGAAGTGGAGTTTTGATATTCCTGCCACCCATTAAATATACAGATTTCCAGACGAAGTCCTACATCGTTCAGGAAAAATATAAATTAATTAGAAAAATGTTGGACCTTTGGTGGGATTCGAACCCACGACTCGCACATTATTAGCCATGCATTACACCCGGCGAACTCATCAAATTTTACAGATCGTAGATTATAAATATGACCATGTATACACAATTACAATAATTATTTCACCCTGATAATTACCCCTCATAATCCTCAATATTCAAACGGTATAACTAATTCAATTTAATCCAAATTAACTGCATTAATTAAGCATGAAATGTGTACGTGAACATTAATTAAAATGTCAGTACCTTCGGCAATTTAGTGCGCGAGTTATAATTAAATTAATATACTCGTTATCTCAAGTGTGCCAATGTAGAACTACCCCATTTCATACTCCAACGAACTTTGAATTACGAATATTATTAGTATTTGTATGTAGGAAGACACATAAGGTCTACCATACGTCTAACAACTTTAAGAAAAATCTAACAAATATAAGTCTAATTCAATTAACTTTGACGGGACGTTGGTCTAGTGTTAACAATGAACTGAAAACACTGGGAGTACGTTTGATCCCCACCAAGTCATGTTTTATCGATTTAAAATTTTCCTGCATTTCGGAATTCATATGGAAATCTGGATGTTAAATTTAAGAACAGAAATTCAGAATAAAATATTAAAAATTAACTCATAACGTTTGTAACAAACGAAAACTTATCTCAAACATGTTCTGGCTATTGCTTGTGCGAGTAGTGCACATTTAAATAAAACAGCTTTAACAGTTTAAAATGAAACATATTGGTTAACATTTTTACCCCAGGCCCGTGTCTCGAGATTGAAGATGGCGGGTATCCCCAATGTCAAATAACAAAACTGCTACGCTAGCGCCATCTGTTTCGTCGTCGCCAGTTTCTCCAATTGTCAACTACGACAACAGATAGCGTAAAAGAAATCGTTTTATTTAAAAATTATCTTAAGCATCTCAAACTGCGTCCTAGATTCGAAACAGTTTAACTAAATAAACGATGTTTATGATTGGGAAGTTACTATCAACGGCTGTAGCGATGCAAAACAAAACACAATCGCAATGTCAATAAATCTAGCGGCTAATCTGAGCTACAGTGACTAAACCGTATCCTAGCCAACAGTTAGCTAACTTCTGTTTTAATCATATGATGCATCCTGAGATTTAACAGATGTGAAGTGTTATCATCTTTTGTAATGGTAGTAAGGTATGGTTAATAACGAGTCGTGGTTCGACCCCCACGAGGTCCAACATCTTTCTAAACAATTCATTTTTTTTAACACAATTTGGACTTTTAGAAAACTGTATATAATGGGTGGTAGGAATA